GGGGGGAGTAGGACACTTCATTCATCATCCAGAGTCCAGACTGTCTATGTTTCACATATTTATTTGAAGCTCTTCCCATAAGAATCTATAACTTTTCATTCCGACCTCTAGAGAGGGGTGGGGGTGGTTCAATTGAACCTGAAGTAGTATATGTTGAAATATAAATATTTAAATTATATATTTTTTAATAACTTAAATTTTTGGAGTAGCCAGTATAAGGCAAGGGGGAGGGTTGTGTTTTAGCTCTTGGGGAATTGGGTGGCTGTCACACAACTCACATCCCCACCCCTGGATCACTTAAGGTGGGTGACGGACCGGCCACCAAGGTCTTAACCAACCAATCTTATCCATAATAAACACAAAATACAGCGGAAGATAAATAATAAAATGATATATTCTACTGACATAATGAATACCAGAGGAATAAACTAAATATTACTAACATCATTACTAAATCCATGTAAAACAATAATTAAATTGTAAAGTTCACTACTCTAAACATCAGCAATATTGTTCTCAAACAATTAAACATTTATCTCAAAACTATAAAAAAAAACTTTTATTTCTGAATACCTACATTAAAATAAATCTCCAAATCCTCTAATCCCTTGTCTATTTGTAGACTTACTCCTCACCCTGATTCTCACTTGAAAAATGTTAATTGTTTAGATGAGCACAAAGTTACATACATAAATACAATAAATTGTACCTCAATCCCTCACACATAATCATGTAAACAAAATGATCTCATGATTACAAATAACTTTATAAATGAAAAGACATTTATAATACAAACACCCACTCATTTTCACAAATAACTTTATTAATGAAAATATATTTATAACACAATACACTCACACACACATTCAGTTCCAAATACATTTGTCAAATCATGTTTGTTATCACTAGTCTGGTACCTGGCTTCATCTCTTGTCATCACTATTCTGATGATTGACCCCGTTCTTTGTTACCACTAGCCTGGTAACTGGCTCCGTCTTTTGTCATTACTAGCCTGATGATTGGCCCTTATGTGCACATTCCTATGCCGACCACGCTGATATACAATTTCATTATCATTTAGATCCAGTAACCGAGTCCTCATCTCATAAACATAATTTTCACACACACCAAAATTATAGTTTTAGTTTTAACGCACACAAAATTTATCTTTTATCACTAAAACACATTTAAGCAATAATATAAAATCATCCCACAAGTTTTTCAAAATTCACAAGAATAACAGTTCACTATTACAAAACATTTAATTGCAGCTCCAAACATCAACACATATATCATATATATGAAAAATTCACACTCACGCACCCACACATTTAATATAAAAAATTCTTCCAAAAGAAGTAGTAACTACTCACCTTGATTCCCAAAATCCAATTCAAAACACTCTTTTTCAACCTCAATGCAATCATCACCTAATCCAAAAAAAACATATAACAATCAATCCCTATTTCTAGCTTCATCATTTCGTGATTTTATATTTAATTTTTATACTTCCTACCTATTGATATATATTTAATATGTCTTTTACATATAAATATTCTTTTTAATACGAGTTAATAGGGCATGGAAGTATTCTGGACGGTTTAGAAAAAAGTTTCTAAAGTTTTGGAGTCAAATCATAATTTTTAAAACTTTTGGATTCAAAGTGTAATTTCCTTGAAAAACGAATTTTCTGTTTTCGGGGCTGCCATAAATTTTCTAAAATTCTATTCTTCTAACTTACCATGTAAAACATGGGTTAAAATTAAATTTAGAAGAATATAAGGATCAAAGTAAAGCTCTTTGAAACTAAAAGAGAGCTTTCCGTAATTTTACACTTTTTCACCATCTTCTTCCAAAGGGGGACTCTAAAACCCTTTCCCTTTTTTTTTTTTTTTCTTTTGACACATTGATTAAATTCTTTAAACAACTTTAAAACCAACCAATCGTAAATTAGGTCTAAAAACACTTAAATTAGCAACTTCAATAAAACCTATTTATATATTCATCAATATATATATTCATTATCACTATTTATAATAAACCTAATACCATATAATTAAATAGAATATAAAACCTATAAATTAAATAATAAACTCATACCTTGGATGGATTCAAGTCTCTCTTTTTTTTCCTCCTCCTTTTCTCTCTCTCTCTCTATATATACATGCCTTTTTCTCTTCGAAGCCCTTGCTGTTTTTCTTTCTTTCTTCTTATTTTTTTTTATCTCTTGTATTATTTTGACTGCCTACATATATATGTATAGAAAGTACAATAAATCCTACAATTCCTCAAATTCATTAAATACATTAACATCCCTTTCTAAAAAATATATTGCAAATTAACCTAACAACTAATATATATAGATATAGATATATTTTAAATTTGGGATATTACAGTCTGCAGAGTATGTGTTGATGATGGGTATATATGTAGCAACTAATTAGGTCATCAAAAACACAAAGAACATGACTCAAAACAAAGAAAAACAGTGGGGCTGAAATTCTTCTGCAACAGATATTACTGCAAAACACAATCCAAAAAGCTCCTCTATTTCATTAAAATTCGAATGCAATATCAATGAATTTTCTAGCCTGTTACATTGCATCGGGACACTTGTCTTAGCCGACTTGCTCTTCAACCGCCACTAGCATTTAACATTGCCTTATAAATTACAGCTGCAATACTTCATCGTGAAGAAGAAAACACTCCAGAATATTTGGACAACCGACTTAACGAAAGAATTACAATTATGTTCTTTAGTCTTAAAATTCAAAGGGGACAATTTATCTGACTTTTTGGCAGCAAACACACACAACAACCAGCCCTTAAAGCCAAGGTTTGGAGCTGCAGCTCCTTCGGCAACATGCACAGCACATCTTTGTTTTCTGGCAGCAAGTCTCATTTTTCTTCTCTGTTTTTCTACAGTAATTTTCTGGGTATTTTTTCTTTCTTTGCAGCAAAAAGAGAGAAAAAGTGAGAGTACCTGTGTTTATTAGAACCAACTGCCTCCACTTGCGCAACCCTTCAGAATCTCAGGTGCCTGCCTCTTCAGGTTTCTAAAGTCAATAGAGACAGCCTTCTTTTGCTGGCCCTCAGCAGCTACCAAAGTCAAACATAAAAATTCCACTTCAAACTTTGGACAAAAAACTTATTAAAATTACATATCAAACCCAACCATAAAATATCAAAACTGCCCCAATTAAATTGAGTTTAAAGACTATTCGATGGATCTCTAGGTTACATTTTTATTCAATTTCATTCGATACTAAATCATTTACTGTATATTAGCGAGATGTCCGCTTAGAGTTGAGATGATTTATTATTAAGTAGAATAAAGTGAAAGTTTAACACAGAGCATGCTTCTCCATCTATATTCAATCAAAAGACTATATTATGTTACTATTAACATGTCCTACTTTAAAAAAAGTATAATTAATTAATTAGTATGCTTTATTAATCTAGTGTGGTATTTATTAAAAATTAAATTTATTTGAAATTATTAAAATTCGTATTAATGATGACATGCTATTACCATTTTATTAATATACAAATGAAGATAAATTATTGAGCTGTATTTGAATAATTTGGAAACTGGTGTTGTGTTATCCTAATCGAATTTGAAATTGTCTTAATCTAATTTAGATAATCTTAATTCGGTTTAGAGGTGTTTTACTACCAGGATTTAAATTTGTTTGAGAAAAAATTGACAAAGACACGCTGACTCTAATAATTTTGCCAGTTGATAGATATTTTGTGGGCATAGATCAGGAATATAGATCAACTAGTAATTGTCCGTGCCTGAAGGCACTGCATTACTCATAAAAAATAAACAAAAAATTCTACAAAACAACAACACATATACAAATATATCAGGAAAAAATATATTAATAGAATCAAATCAAATTTACAAATTGAGAAAAAAATATATATATCAACTAAATTTAAAAAAAAAATCCTTCAATAATATAATGTAATGGACAAAATT